ATTTCTGATCCAGTGACTGACAGGCCTGTTTGATATCAGCACCAGACTCTAATCATTGCCTCAGAACATGGACTACAGCCAACCGTATGCTGCTGTCGGCCTCGTTTTGTGCATGTGTGTGTTGAACGTCTAATGAAATGAGTTGAAACACGAAATTCAAATTACGTTTTCCACTTAATAAAAGACACACGCTATTAGCAGTCGATGCGCTCCCTGTTCAGTTGGCGCTTGTTCTGCCCCATTTATAAAAGCCTAATGAATAAACGAGACTACCTGCTGCTCCCGTGAAACGCGCTGACTGGGTGAATCCCAGGAACGCCGGGATCTCGTATTGATTTCAGGCGTGTCGTTCACTCGCTGCATACTGTTAACATTCAAAGTGCTGATGAGGCATTAAAATGATCAAAACAAGCAAACAGACATTTCTTGAAACGGGGTTCCTACACATGTTCCATTTCAGATTCCCAGACTTTATAGATATTTCTGTATTTGACACCGTGTCAGTACAAATACCTGGGTGGTGGTTATTATGAAATAAACTGTGAAGATGTACGCTACGCTCTCTTTGTTTATAGCTTGTTAGGAAATAATTGAAAGAAGACTGTAGCTGTAGGTACTATTGTGAAACAGCCACAAGGAAGAGCAACAACATCCCTGCCCGGAGTTTCACTATATTATTTCCCTTTGCTCTCTCTCTGCAAAAACACAGCCTGCAGTTCAACCAAGAAGTCCCTGATTTTTGTCACGTCATAAGTGAGTCACCTTGTGCCAAGGAGGGCAGGATTTCTCGTTTTACACAAATCTGATTGGTGCTAATGCTTTATTATGGGGGACATTTTCAAATGAAACATGCAGAATAAAGTGATTTTGAATTATTATAACTTAGATTTGGTGAAGTTTTAATGACAGATGAGTCGTCCAAGAACTGTCATAAGATTGAAGACAGTCGGAAACAGTTTGTGGCTCTGATAAACGGTGTCACTTTGGTGGTTTAAAAAAAAAAAAAAGAAGTATAACATGTCTTAAACAAGTGTCCTAGAAAATCAGAATCAACTTTATTGGCCAAGTTTGTAAACCCAAACAAGGGATTTGACTTTGGTGAATCTCAGCTCTCTCAATAAGAAATAAAAGAAATGTACTGGAACAAAAAACTAATGCAGCTACAAAGGAAGTACGCTGACTTTACAGATAACTACATCATCCATTCCCACCACCAGTCCTGTGAATCCACTGACAAGCATTTCTCAACATGTCACATGTACTCAGGTGTAATCTACCACAAGCATTTCTCAGGTACCTCCGTTCCTCTCTGCTATTGTAAATACTCACATGTTTAGACCCATTTTATACCTATTGTCACTTATTTTTCAAATACATTTCTAGGCTCTACACATGTCTTGTTTTTATCTGGCACAGTTTGTTTGTTAATTTATAGTTGTTCTTTGCACTGAATGGGACTGCACCCAATTACGTTGTACATTAAAAGATTCTGATTCTGATCAGTGAATAACTTAGAAGTGTTCAGACAAACTTAACATCAGAGTATTTTTTATCTTTTGTATACATGCAATTCGAACATATTACCACATTTTCTTTCAAACTAATTTGGTGGCGGATGTCTGGATTTGAGTGGTCTTCACTCTTTCACACAGCGGTAAACACTTTGGTTGTCTGTTTGATCAATTTCAGATCTGAAAATTATCATTTTTGACATTTTATTTTAGGAAACAGAATAACAGCTATAGTCTGGGAACATATTTTTTCTTACTCTTTTTTTCCCAGATCTGAAAAAACTCCAATTTCATACTACACAAGAACCTCGACTTGACTTTGTGCTTGTCTTTATCTGATGGTTTCATATTGTATATTTGCATTCAGAGAAATGCTGCTATTTTTCTATCCATTTATAGATTTTTAAAGAACCACCTGGACACAATCAGTGCAGCTGTTAACACTTTGCACGCTGACCTCCTGTTGTCAGGATGAAGCCGCAGCGACAGCCTGATATTTAAATCATTACACGTGAGTCATGAACCACATCCGGGCTGCGTCTTCTGCAGTAACTATACATTAGCCTGGATTAGCACCAAGATTAATCATCTCTAACGGGGTCAGGAGTGTGCTCCGGGGTCACGTACCTTATTTAATGTAATTAAAAATAAATGTTTCAAACCATAAACTATAAATGAACGGCGGCGGCGGGGGGAGGGGGGGATCGGTGCAGAGAGCAATAGCCTCGTCCACAAGCACAGACGCACACAGTCATGAATTATAAAACGAGACTCTCCACCTGAGTTATGTCACTTTTCTTTTCTACTGTCAGCAGCTCTCCTTGCCTCCCACACGGTCGGTCACGGCTGAATGGAGCCATTTCCTTCTCACTTTTGTTCTACTTCTGTTAATGTTTGTACTGTATGGGCCCTTTCATCACAGCCTTGGTTTCTTTTTCTTTTTCCGGATGTGGAGGCGTGTACGCACTGCTGGCACCCGCAGGGAAATCACACAGCGGGGTGACCGCGCTGGGAGGATGGGATTGTCCAGGAAAGTACGTGTACAGTATGAGTAATTCTATAAACGTATGTCCACGTCTTAAAGGTCTGTAAAGGTTAAAGGCTCATACAGTTCAGCACTGCCAAGATTGGGAATGCTCCTCATATCTAATTTGCTTCATAATTTATTCGTCTCTCAGTGGAAAAGACAGAAGCTGCTGAACTTGATGCTTGTCAGGAGGTGTCTGCTGCTAATCTGACGCCAAATCCACACATGATAAATACAAACACCCTGCACACGTCCTGATAAATCACGTTAAACCCATTCATGACAGCTGGTGCACGAGCGTTTAAAATGATCGATGGGACCGCGTCAGACTTTAATGACACTCGGCTGATTTCTTTGATCATTTATTGGAGTGTTAGAAATGTTAACGGTCATTCCTCCAGTCGCCTCCCGCGTTTTATTACAACAGCCAGCTAATGAGAGCGCGAGTGCAGATGGTTTATTCTCGACTTGAGTGTCGAATAAACAATCTCAACACTTCTGAATCCCCCCAAAAAACCCATCAGTGGGTTTAAAAGGGACGTTTTGTTTTTAAAAAATCACCAAAATTACACCATTTATCAGAAGAGGCACCTGTGAAACTGATGGAATTGTCAGTTTTTAAACTTTTTGATGGTTCTTGAACTACTCGTGTGCCATCCAGTGATATCTGATCAGAATCATTTGTTCTATACGAGTATGTCTCATTAGAAATTCTTAAAAAACTAATAATTACACACTCCTTGGCGCAACTTAGAAGCCACTAGTGAACCAGCATGACAAAATTTTTTTGACTTTTCGGCTGAACTGCACAGCCTAATAGTATAAAATCAGATAAAATAAATATAAGTAGTAAAATATCTAATTTAATATTTCTAAAGCAAAGCTAAAGACCCACATATACACCTGATCCTATATGTCCTGAATTGTTGGATTGTGTTGTTTTATTGATTGTGTTTGATTTATTGTCTGTACAGCACTTTGACCAAAAGCGCTTTATAAATAAAATTCTTCTTCTTCTTCTTCTTCTTCTTCTTAATATCTGTAGTACATAGAGCCACCATTATTTCTCCATGATTGTTAACACCTTTTAGCACATGGAAAAATCTCAAAAATGTTGATTACAGTTTTTTTTTTGCATCTTCTGTAAAATAATCAATCGAACAAATGCAACTTTCACTTTTTCATTTTCATGATTTATGGCATTAGGACTTTGCTATCATGCACAGGAGACTGTTTTGAGCTTCGTCTACTTCTTGCAATGTTTGTTCTGTTTCCATAGAGGTACAGGACTTTATATTGGAGTGAAAAATGAGCCTAAAGCAACAAACAGCAGAGAGTTCAGAGGGTTGATTGTTAATGTCTGAAACTACAGAGAACTATATGAACCTTTAAACCTCCCTGACCTGCTTTTTTTTCTGTCTTGATTGGAGGTTCTGACCCACGAAAACCATAAAAAGCTGCTTCAGAGCATGTGTTTGTCTGGATGTAAATGTTTTCCTGTTTCACTAGCCGGCCTGTAGGCGTCTGTTTTGGTGTTGATTTGACTTAATATTTTGCTTATTGTTTCTCTTTTGGTAATAAAACTGCTTCAAATGCTGAACAATTCAACTTAAGTCTGTATGAAGATGTATTTTCTTCGTCTCCTGCG